AACTTCTGGAAATCCCCACCCCTTCCTCAAAATAGCTGGAATACTCCTCCCACTCATTAGCCTATGAAATTACCCACCCCTATAAAAACTGACAACCCCATACCCTGGTGCCTTTCTCACCTTCTGAGATGGCCCACACTCCGTGGAGTGTGTTTCTCTCTAAATAAATCCACTTCTTACCTATCACTTTGTCTCTCACTGAATTCTTTCTGTAACGAGACATGGAGAACCTGAGTTTCATTAAGTCCTGAGAACAGGTGTGTGGTCTCAGTTAAAAGACCATGGGTTCAAGTCCCAGTCTGAGTTGCACGGTTTCAAGAGTGCACTGTATTGTTGTATTGTATCTACCCAGTCCCATATAGCTCGACATTTGGGTTGTTTCCTGTCTCTACTGCAAGCAGTGCTTCAGTGAATAATATTACACTGGGTCTTTGTTCATAGGTAGAAGTTTAACAGTTAAAGGTACATACAGGCACATATATATATATATTTTTTTGCAGTACGCGGGCCTCTCACTGTTGTGGCCTCTCCCATTGTGGAGCTGTGCTCCGGATGCGCAGGCTCAGCGGCCATGGCTCACGGGCCCAGCCGCTCCGCGGCATGTGGGATCTTCCCGGACCGGGGCACGAACCTGTGTCCCCTGCATCGGCAGGCGGACTCTCAACCACTGCGCCACCAGGGAAGCCCAGGCACATATTTTTCTTTTCTTTTCTTTTTTTTTTTTTTTTTGCGGTACGCGGGCCTCTCACCGCTGTGGCCTCTCCCGTTCCGGACGCGCAGGCTCCGGACGCGCAGACTCAGCGGCCATGGCTCACAGGCCCAGCCGCTCCACGGCATGTGGGATCTTCCCGGACCGGGGCACGAACCCGTGTCCCCTGCATCGGCAGGCGGACTCCCAACCACTGCGCCACCAGGGAAGCCCCCAGGCACATATTTTTAATCACCCTTCCTGAGTGATTAGCTTTGTTTGGGAAATACTGATTCAGGTGATATTCTTAGGAGGATTCCTTACCCAATACACCACCCATCCATCCTCTCCACAAAAGCGTATTTTCTGGGGTCTTGCCCATGCTTTTTTCTGTTACTAAACACAAGTCCGTGTGCCAGATGCACAGTGAGGCTAAACAAACTGAAATGTCGGAGTTTGGAGCAGAGAAAGGTTTATTGCAGGGCCATGCAAGGAAAATGGGTGACTCAGGCTCAGAAACCACCGAACTCCTGACGGCTTTCAGGGACAAATTTTTACAGGCAAAATTTGGGTTGAGGGCTGTAGAATGTGTGACTTTTTTCTGATTGGCTTGGTGGTGAGGTAACGGGAGAGTTTGTTCTTACTTAGTTGAGGCATGCATCGTTAAGGTGCCTGGGCTCTTCGCTGTGGCGTGCAGGTTTCTCTAGTTGTGGCATGCGGGTTTCTTCTCTCTCTAGTTGTGGTGCGCAGGCTCCAGGGCACATGGGCTCTGTAGTTTGCATCATGCGGGCTCTCTCACTGAGGCGTACAAGCTCAATAGTTGTGGCTCTCGGGCTTAGTTGCCCTGCAGCATGTGGGATCTCAGTTCCCCAACCTGGGATCCAACTGTGTCCCCTGCACTGAAAGGTGGATTCTTTACCACTGGACCACCAGGGAAGTCCCAGTTCCAGGAATCTTGTGCTCAGCCTGAAGTTATCATCTTCCACCTGGGCGGAGGGGCCTTAGTTCCTGCAGAAGAACTCAAAGATATTGTTATGTATCTTCCTTCAGGAAGAACTAAGACCCTGCCCCAAGGCTGCACTATTGTTTCTTGACTTCTCCTTTATCTCTGCATTCCCTCCCTTCCCTGACTAGCAACTGTTTGAACCTCCCCTTTGGAACTCAAGGAAGGCCAAGGAGGCCGAAGTCTTTTTCCAGCAAATAAGAAACGAGACATGGAAAGGATTTGTACCAGGAAGGGCCCCACAGCTCCATTTCATTTCCACCTCCATTCTCAGACCTTTGGGAGAATTGGCAGAAACAAAAGGTTGAAGTTGTGTTCTGGAGGGTTTGCAGAATTTGTTTGCCAGTAGAAAGGCTAGTAGGAGGCCAGGTACTCTCCCTTAGATGACTACATCAGGGTTCTCACCACTGGCACTATTAATTTGGCCCCCTTCATCATGGGGGCTCTCCTGGGCTTCCCAGGCCTAGGCCTCCATCTATTAGATGCCAGTAGCCCCTCTACCTAGTTGTGAAAAGATCGTATGTCTCCTGGGGGCAAAATCTCCTCCATCTTGAGAACAAGCGCTCCAGACACTTCCATGGTGGTAAATTACTCACTGAACATTTACTAAGTATCCAGCATCTGGATCCTGAGGTAAATGACCACAGGAAGATGCCAACTTGTTCTCTCCCGTGGAAGACAGTCACAGCCACCTGAAGGGTCTTGTCCACATTCTCACTCTGGTAATCCATTTCCTCTTCCTTTCTTCCTACCCACTATTAGACAGCAAAACCATACAGGATTGTGCATGGATAACTATAGCAACAGAGACAACACAGTACATGAACACAGTCACATTGTAAAACTTTCCAATAATATATTATCCTTGTTGCTCCCACCCTAGGGGAATCCCTAAGGGGAATGGATTGTTTTAAATTTAGAATTCTTCCCCGGTGCACTTACATACCTATTTTAACATACAGAAATCAGGCGTTTTGGTTTTTCGTTTTTAACATAAATGGGAATTCACTGTATGTTTTGTTGAACTTGATTTTTGTCAGTTAACTATCCAATTAACAACTGGAGACAGGCTCATATCAGTATAGTTCGACCTCATTCTCTTTTAAACTGCTGCATAGTATTGTATACTATGGGCATATTACCGGTTAATCAGTTTGCAAATTGATGTGCAATTACGTTTTCAGTTTTTAAATATCATAACAAAGCTGACAGTGCTGTAATGAACACGTAGTACATGTCTCTTGGTAAAAAGAAAACACATGGCTATCAAGCAAGAAGGGAGATACACACAATTTTAACAGACTGCCAAACAGCCCTACAAAAAGAGCTGTTATCACTTAAAATTCCCTCCAAATGTGATTAAGAATAGCTTTGACCCTCATCACAGGCCACCTGGGTTAAATTACCAATCTGAATTTGAAGTGTTGCCAATCCGCTCTCCTTAGCATTTCAATTGGTAAAGTCTTGTTGTAAAATGCAAATTTCTTAGTTCACCCTTTAAGAAACCTTTCAGGGGCTCTCCAACGCCCTCAGAATAAAGTCCAAATTCCTTAGCAAGACTAACGTAATCCTGGAGGTTCCTTACTCCAGAAAACCTCTAGCAGCTTCTCTCCTCTGAGCCGAGTTCCCTCCAGTGCCCCCATAGCCCCAAACGCCCGTTCCCCAGTTTTGGGAGCTCCCGGCACGGCGCAGAGGCACTGTTTGTTGAATGTGTGACAGCGGCAGGAACAGCATCTCGGTCATCTCTGACCCCAGCCCCTGGAGCTCAATAAATGCTTATTGAGCAAGGCCAGTGCGGGAGAGGGGCTTGGGGGTCCAGAGGGACGCTCCTACTTTGCTCCTGGAGCCGCACCTCCGACCCCACCAGGCTGCTGCCTGCGCCCCATCGGCCCCAACAAAGAGGCCTCAGGTGCTTCATTTCCAAATTTGCAAAACAACGAGAACCCCTTCCGCAGGGTCACATGCCTGGAAGGAGACTCTACAGAGGCGGTCTCTGTATTTCCATATAAAATGCTCATGTGATCAACAGAGGGCCCAACAAAACAGTAAGAGTCCTGGACAGGACCAGGCTGGAGTGCCACTTATCCCCTAAAGTATTTCGGGAAAGCTAAGGTGTCTCATATAGTTCTTTTTTTTTTTTTAATATAAACTTATTTACTTATTTTTGGCTGCGTTGGGTCTTTGTTGCGTTGCGCGGGCTTTAGGCACGTGGGCTCAGTAGTTGTGGCGTGCAGGCTCTAGAGCGCAGGCTCAGTAGTTGTGGTGCACGGGTTTAGTTGCTCTGCGGCATGTGGGATCTTCCCGAACCAAGGCTCGAACCCGTGTCCCTTAGCATTGACAGGCAGATTCTTAACCACTGAGCCACCATACAATAGTCTGACAATCAACCTTTTAAAGACTGCAACGACCTGAAGAAATAAGCCCTCACAGCCACAGCAACTGGAAATCTAAATGACAATGGTGGTGACGCCCAGGATGCTGCAGGAAGGCCCAAGCCCATCGGAGAATTTACAAACTCCCGTTTCTCGGTGAACACCCACCAGCCAGCCTGCCGCAGCACTTGCCGAGAACAGCAGGGTAGAAATGGGTGTCCTCAAACTCAACGGTTTTCACCTGCGACCTTTTTACAGGATCTTAGGTAAACAACGGGAGTTACTTTCTCCTCTGGCTTTCGTTGAACAGTTGTTCCACAAGAGTGCTGACTAATGGTGGCAGCCAGCAAGTGCCCTTAGGCGGCCTCATGGAAATAAAAAAGTTGGTATAAGAAAGAAAAACAAAACAACCAAACAACGGGAAACTGTACCACCTGGCTCCAGTGATACCAAACTGTGAGGAAAAGGCGGGAGAGGGGTCCTCAGGGATCGCACCCAAGAAGTGAAGAAAGAAAAAAGGACAGAAGCCCGAGCCCAGACAGCCTCAGAACCGCCCCAGAGGGCACGGCGTACCCGGGGCTAGGTCTCCTCGGTGCGGTCCAACCTCTGCGTCAATCAGCTCTTTCCCGCGCTGTGATTGGTGGGCTTCCTTGGCCACCCTGGCGCCCACCTCCTAGTTGCTTGGGGTTTACTTCCCCAAAGTACACGGGCCCCACCTTGTGGAGCAACCGCTCCTGCATGGAAAGCGGATCTCCGCCCTGGGGAAGACGTTGTAACGAATGGGAGCACCCTCAAACATTTATTGGCTACCGTGGATATCGGTCAAAGAACTTCCCACCCTCCTTCCCACCGTACCTTTCAGTTATTGGTCTCTCTTAGTGCCAATCCGTTACTAGGGAAACGAGCTCCTCACAGTCTCATAGGCATGAGTCAAAGCCAATCAAGAGCCACGCCTTCATCCTGAGTCAGTACCCAATTGCTGCTCGAAGAGCCCAGGGTGCGCAGTCGGGATTGGCCACCAGACTGCTCGACCTGGCCGCAACAAGTTAGGCTGAATCGCCCTTATATAGCCCGGCGACGGAACACGCGTGTGTGCGGACGCAGTTGCGTGAGGGGTTTTTTGCGTTTTGCGGTGCTGTGGAGCAGAGCTTGTTCCTCTCCCGCTCAGCCGTGCAGGTACGCCGAGGTGTGGGCGGGGCTGGGCAGCCCCGGGACGAGGACGAGCTGGGGCTGTGGTGAGAAGGAGACGTCCTAACGGCGGCCGCGCGAGGCGCGCCTCCCCCCCCCCCTCCGCAACGGCCGCAGGCGCGCGGCGGACGCACGGGCGCGCGGAGGCGCTTCGCCCCCCGCCCCCACCGGCCCGGCGCGCGTGGCTGTGGACGCGTCCGCCGCCTGCGCGTGCCGCGCCCAAGGGCCACGGCGGGCGAGAGCGAGCCGCGGCCGCCGCCCGGGTCCAAGGGTGATCTCGGGGGCCTGGGGCCCCGCGCGGCCGGCTCGGTAGCTTTTCCCGCCTGCCCCCCCGCCCCCCCCCCCTCCGCGCGCCAGCCGAGTCCTTCCTCCCATGGCGGGGGTCTCCAGCTTAGCCCAGACCAGAGGAGGCTTTTCTTTGGGTGGGGGACACGAAGGTGCGATGAGAATTTCTCGACTCGGGAAGCAGAAGTGCTGCTCCTAGGTTTTATTTACTAGGAGTAACGGGGGGAGCAGCGAGTTCGTGGATATTGAGTGATGATAATAGCTAACATTTTTCCAAGCCCTCGCTGTGTGCCAGGCACTGTGCGGAGCAACTTGTGTGTGTCTTCTTTACTCCCGAAATGCCCCGTTGAGGTATGTACGTTGCTTTCCCTCTTTTTACAGCGGACTCGAAGGCCCAGAGGTGGAGTGACACGGTCAAAAGCGCACAGACCGTAAGGGGCAGGTATTAGTTTGAACCTAGGCGGTCTGACTCCCAGTCCCCGGACCTGTTTTATTCTTTGTCCCAGCGCCCTGTGCGGCTCTAGGGCATCTTTGCCCCCAGAACGCTAGTCCCTGGGGTCAGCATCAGCCTCGGAAGGCTGACTGCAGCGGCATTTGTACTTGGGCCAGTTGAGGGCTTCCAGGGAGACGAGGGTTGGACGTGGGATTATTTCAAAGGAAAAGAAAGGGTTTTTTGGGCTTCTTTTCTACAGATATTCCTAAAGGTAGCTGATGGATGTGCTGCCCTAAAAGCTTCTGGGAAAAGCGTAAAGTGAATAAGCCCCAATGATCCTGGACAGTGTTCCTCGTCAGATTTGAAACTTAGAGGCTGATGATGGGAAGTTCCCGCCAGCAGGAAGTTAGGCTCTGATATTAGATCTTGAATCTTCTTTCTTCCTTTTTTAATTGGAGCAGACTTTTGAGAAAGACCCTCGAGAAGACAGTTGAACTTCCTCGATTTATGTGGTTGAAGAAAATGAGGTTGCAGAGCGATGAGTTTCAAATCTGGCCATGACGTATAAGTGAAAATTTGAAATTGGAGCGGAAAGCTTGGTGCCCAGTTACAGGACAAATTTGACCTCTGTGGAGCCTCAGCTAGGTGAATTAGGGGTGATTGAGAGGTGTTGGAAATCTTACCCTTATGGCAGTTGGGAACTTCTGTGGATGAAAACTTGTCTACATACGTTTATTTAGCATTGTGTGTATGCTGCTGTTATATGCAAACGTAGAAGACACCTTCAAAGACTTGAGTGTAAATTTTTCTAGTAGAGTTATATCTGAGATTTTTATAAAACCAGTTTATTCCTTGACTTAATGAAATAATAAATGTTCCTGTGTTGCAGGTCCGCATCATTACTTTGCATCACAAATGTCTCTACTTGAGCTAAAGCTACATTAAAAGTTTTGGAGCTAGCTCTTCTGAATTAATTTTGATTGGAATGGCTGTCGACCATTTTCCTTTCTCTCTTTTTTTTTTTTAAAGAAGTTTATCTATTTTGTTTGTGCAGACACTTCTTAGAATTGGTCTTTGTATAAGAATTGTTTTTGCTGCTAGAGGGAACACATAATTTACATCTTTGTAAGTGAATTAAAAAGCTGTGAGGAAACAAACATTTTTGTTTCCATTTACCCAGTAATTTCCATATTTCTTAACAGAAAGTAGCGGTAGATACAGGATCAAAATAGCTTATGGACAGGTTCCAACACCTTTGTTGGTGTTGCCATGAATGACACATAGCTTTAGAGTATAACATTGTTTTCTTTGGAACTTGCCTTCTTGTAGCAATTCCAGTTACCTGCGTTAATATACACCAGTTAGCTATTGAAGTAACATTTTAAGTTATCAAAAGTTAAAACACTAATGATCTACATTTAAACTGTTAATGAGTCCACTAATTATTCCTTGAGGTAAAATGTATCAGAATGAAAGTTCTTTGTGTATTATTTGACGGAAATTTTTGTTAGTTTCCCCTTCAGATATTTTAAAAAATACTGTTCTTGGCTTCAGGCAAATGGTTATCGGTTGGGTAGGAATATGAAACCTGGTATTTCACAGATTGGTAGCCCAGTTGATCGCTTGTGTATTCATTGATCAAGAACAAATGAATTGAAGTAAATTGATAATACAAGACTTGTCTGCCTGTCTTCAATCCAAGCTAGAGGTTACTTTTGCTGTTAAAATCCTTTGAATCTAAGCTTTTGTATCTCTTCTAACTGGTAGAAAAGTAGGTAGTTCTTTGTTCTTTTATTTAACTCACTTTAGTTTGCTGTTCTCAGCTGACAGTCTGCTAAGGGAACATCAGGAGATTTGGTAATGTTTCTTGGTGACCTACTTCACAGCAGTTTTTGGTAATTTACATTTTTTTTTAAACTTGTTTCAGTACTTTGCCTAGAAAGTAAAGGGCAGAAGTTTGTTTTAAATTTTTATAGGTTTGTGAATTGTATATGGTTCTTAGGACGGATGGGGCAGTGTTAAAAAATGAAATTCGGTATAAAGCCTGAATGTGTGACCTAAACCAGTTTTTCCTTTTGCCAGTTTACTAACATTACCCACTTGATCTTTCAACATTTTGCAGTTAGATTTGTTTCTTAAAATACTTCAAAATTCAAATATGCATTGTATATTCATTTAATTGCACTTTAAGACTTCCTTGGACAAAATTTACTGACTCTAAAGAGGGAGATAATTGTTAAAGTAGGTAGCTAAGAAAAAAAGCCCCCCCCACATCAGTTTTTAACACCTAGTGGGACCTTTAGTACAGTACTATCCTTCCAGCCATGGAGTTAAACTTAAGATTCAGCAACAGTAATCACACTTGTAGTTGGTGATCACGCTGTGGTGAAGAACTAAGTTTGTTTTTAAATCTCAAAAGTCAGCTTTCTGTTTGTTTGTTTATTTATAGTATTCTTGGTCACCCTCTCTGGCTTTGGTTGGGAAAGCTTAATTGCAAGCCTGATGATAAGGTGAAGAGGGTGAAGAGTTAGGAAAAATGTGCACATGAAGAGTGGGAAGAGGGGGCTTAACAAAGCAGAAAGTTATTAAAAGTTCTCTTTGTAAATAAAAATCAGGTCTTTAGACTTTAAGTGATAAGATTTCCACTTCTGCATTCTGGCCAATCTGTTATGTCATATTGCTTGGCTGTTTAGCCTGGGTGCTGTATTTCAGGTATTTAATAAAAAGTAAATATTAGAGATGGTAAGATATGGTTCAGAGGATAAAAAGCTGGCTTCCTAGATGGGACACACTTCAGCTTAGTAGGAATGTCATCCTTGGTGGCTGTTAAGTGGCTTTGTGGCAGCATCATTGCTTATTTGTATAGCTGTTTATGTATTTTTAAAGTGCATTCACACATCTTAGGTTTTCTCATGTTTTTGCATATAAGACCTGGAGCTCTGTAACCTAAGTAGTTGTCTAAACTATTTTGTAAAGCAAGTGGTGTAACTGGTAAGGATATGTGCTAGATATATTTCCTTGTTCAGAAACTTAGAAGGTTTTAGAATTTCCTTATTCAAAAAATCTTTGAAGGTTTTAGAAGGCATCAGTGGCACCTACCTGCCTTTCCAGGTTTTTTTGTTTGTTTGTTTTAACAACTGCGCCTCAAGTATATCCCATGTTTATGGACTATCTTGAGCTTACTCCTAGGGATTCCTGGCATACGTCCACCTATGCTTTATGAGATCTGAAGCATAGGAAATTCATGTTTTCAAGGAATTTCATACATGAAGCATTAGTATATAGTTAACAGTATTTTTTCATCTTGGTGAGAAAGGACAGATTGTTGCTTAATTATAAACCTAGCTGACTAGCTTTTAATGCTGGATTGGGGAAGGGATGTTAAAAACCAAGAAAAGTTAGTGAATTAATTTTGTCAGTTCTTGAGTTTTTTTCTCTTGAGGAAACATGTTTTTTGAGGTAATTTTGTATTTACAGACAAGTTGCAATACAGACATGTTTTGTATACCCTTTACCTAACTTCACTAATGTTAACGTCTCACCTAATCATGGTACATTTTTCAAAAATAAATTGACATTGATAAAGTATTATTAACAAAGGCTTGACCTTATATGGATTTCCTTAGTTTTTCCACTAATGTCCTTTTTTTCTGTTCTAGGATCCAATCCAGGATACCACATTGCAGTTAGTCCTCCTGTCTGCTTGGTTTCTCTTCTCTGATCTGTGACAGTTTCTTGTATTTTCTTTGTCTTTAATGACCTTGACACTTGATCTCAGTTTGGTTATACTTGGTGTTGAGTAGACTGAGGTTATGGATTTTGGGAAGAATACCACAGAGGTGACTTAGCCTTCTTACCGCATCACGGGGCACATAATACCATTCCTAGTTGAATTTAACCTTGATCACTTGATTAAAGTGGTGTGTACCAGGTTAGTATTTTTTTCCTTTCCATATTCTTTTTATGAGAAGCTAGTCACTAAGGGAGGAAAATCTTTGAATATGTGGACATATATTAAAGCTACCGCTGTAGTTACTAAACATTTGGGGGGAAACACTTTGAACTTAGGCAGATACTCTGTTTCTCTAAATTTTCCCCGCTTAATGTTAGCATTCATTAGTGGCTTTTGCCTGCAGCTCTTAATGGTGCTGTTCTCATGGTGATTCTTTATTTCCCTTGTTTCTTCTCCGTCATTTGAAATGCTTAGGTAAGAAAGATTTGCCTCTTCTCCCCATTTTTTTAATTCTTCATTTTCCCATTTTTTAACACT